GATCTGACGCTATTTCCAGGTAGGTAGTGTCAGAATTGACCAGAAGGTGTCACCGAGAATTGCTTGGTGTGGGGGAACCCCACCCCCACATTTGGTGACCAGAAGTGTTGTGAGTGTGGTAATAGTGTGAGAATAAAGGAGACACACAGGAGAAAGACACAGTAGGGAAGAACTGAGTTGTTCCCTATACAGGAGGAAGACTGGGTGGGTGTTTTTTCCTAATACACATCCCCTCCTCCTTTGTTGCTTCCTAAGAGAATCCTGATTTTGTTCAGGCATCAACCTTTCTTTAATAGCCAGATGATGTGCAGGAAGCCCTAGGAGTAGGGTTTGAATATACTTTGCCAAATACTGTGGTTCCATGCCCCCTTTCTGTGAATGCTATAGGCATGGGGGTATGAAACAAATCAGGCGAATAAAATGTGGGGAGAGCAAGTCAGCCTCGACGTTTTGGGATAAGCTTTCTTTGCTTTAAAAAAGACACCCAAGAAGAGATGGCCCTTTGTTATTGCTCCTGAATGTGGGTGTGATGTCTGGAACTGCAGTGGCCATCTTAAGGCCATGAGGTAGATAAGCTTGAGTGGATCCTTCAGGACATAATGGAAACATTGAATAAGTCAACCCAAGAACTGCCCTAACTCCTGAGCTCTTGTTCTGTGAGATAATCAATTTCCTCTTTGTTTCAACCATTTTGAGTTGGGTGTCCTCTTAAGTACAGCCCTGGCTACCATATTGCCTGCGATTCACATAGAATACATGGCGGCAGCCCTGCTTGCAGATTAAAACACTGTAAGTGGTAGTTTTCTTTTTCGATTGCTCCCCCATCCTTGTGATAGGATCTCTCTCACAGAGGTTGTTTTCTCAGCTCTGGCCAAGTGGGTTGTTTACCATGAGAATTGCCCGACCAGTGGATGCCTGTTTACAACCTGAACAACTGTATGTGGTGGCTTTGATGTAAACTTCCCTGGCCATAGCAGCGGAGGTCGTAGGCAGAGCCCTCACCCAAGCTGGACCCCACCAGAGAAGAGTCTGTCCGTTAAAATTTTAGAACCAGACAAAAGTAGTTCTTGACATTTCAAGGGCATATTTGGCTTACTATGCTTGAAGCAGAAGGTAGTCTGTGAAGAGACAAAAATAAAGTGAAAGCCCAGCCCATGAGGGAAACCACACACTCAGGGTAGGAGAGAGAGTGACACAGAGGGACAGAGAGATTTTGCAAAACAGAGACAACATTGATTTCGCACAGATTTTCAATTCTGTTTCTTGTCCCTGGTGCAGCCCAGAGACCTAGCTCTTGCTCGGATCTAAACTTCCAATAAAGCTGTCATTTTTGCTTGAGTCAGCTTAAACAGATTTTATTTCTTGCAACAGAGATCCCGGAACAAAAACTTGGGAGCCATTTACCATGAGGTCCTGATCACAAGGTCTGGTGTAGAACATTCTGAGAAATTTATCTCTAGCCTCAATATCTGCACCATGGGACATGTATTTCCATCCTTTGATCCCCACAGTAGGGCATCATGGGAGATGCAATCTTAGACTCCAATCTCTGCCATAGGGTCTCCTGGGAAATGCAGCCCTAGCTTCAATTTCTGCTGTAAGGCATCACAGGAAATGTATTCCTTAGCCTCCAGTCTCTGCCGTGGGGTATCATGATGGATGCAATCCTAGCCTCCACTTGTCACCCGCGGGAGCAATCCGAGGGTCCCTAACCCACACTTAAACTCTCTCTATAAAACATGTACACCTATCTTAGGCAAGGAGGTAAGGAAGTCACCCCCCACCCCTCCCATTTCTAATAAAAACCTCACTCTGGGCAAACTTGCAAAAAACCTGACTGTATCTGTATTTTCTAGCTGTGTTTACAAGACAGGAACAAGAGAGCGTTAACCATAAGACATCGGTATAAGCTGACTGAACTTCAAAACTGGGATAAAGGTTTCTCTACAGCTCATTACCATGTCATTGTAACAATAAGATCTCTGCCCACCGGGCCATATTGGTTCAACCCAATTCCCACCCAGACACTCAAGGGCCGAACAAGGGCAGAAAAAGGCATGAACTGCATTCTGGGAAATCACCACCCATTTCCATGAATCAGGATGACAAAAGACCCCGTCCCCAATAACCTTTTTCACCTTTTTCTATAAAAAGCTTGTCCCCGGTTGTAATCAGAGCTTCCCTTCTCCATTCTTGGGCCACTGAATAAAAACCTGTCTTGCTTGCACCAAACTCAATTTCGTTATTGGCAGAACCTGTGCGGGAAAGAACTTCCTGAAGGACGGGGCTGAGGTTGGGTGGGAGGCGGGGCTTTGGTTCCGTTAGGGCCCCACGTTGGGGGGGCCTCCCATCTAATTCAGTAACACAATTTCTGCTGTAGGGCATCACGGGAAAGGTGAACCTAGCCTCAATTTTAATTATGAGGCATCTTAGAAAATGTCATCTTAGCCTCATCTCTGCCTTAGGGCATCATGGGAGATATAGCCGTAGCCCAGGTTTTGTCGTAAGGTACCACGGAAGATATAGTTTTTCCTTCCTTCCCTCCCTCCTTTCTTCATCACCTGTCATGTCCTGGGCGCTAATCTAGGTACTGAGAATACAGTAGTGAGCAAATAGAAGGGCCTGCCTTTTATGGAGATTCTAGTGGGGAGAGTTAGCAAAAAAGCAGACAAACAAGTGACTGTTTCAGCCAACCATTGCAGCATAACAGAATACTCCAAAACTCAGCTATGTAAAACCACAACCTCTTTATTTTATGTTTCTGTGGGCTGGGAATTCGAGCAAAAGGCACAGTGAGATCAGTGCGTATCTGCTCCACAATGGACTGGGGCCAAAGTGGGCTGGCTTGAACAGCTGGAGATGGATGGGCTGATTCATATCTGAAACCTTGGTGCTGGCTGTTGGCTGGTGGTGTGGGTTGAATTGTGTCCCCCCGAAAATATGCTGAAATCCTAACCCCGAGTTTCCATGAATGTGACCTTATAAGGAAATAGGGTCTTTGTAGATGTGATAAGTTAAGATGAGGTCAAACTGCGTTAGGGTGGGCCCCTAAATCCAATGACTGGTATCCTTATAAGGACAGAGAGATTTGGAGACACACAGCCACATTCACAGGACAGAAGTTCACGTGACAACAGGGACAAGGACTGGAGTGATGCAGCCACAAGCCAAGGACTGCCGAGCATTGTCGGCAACCCTCAGAAGCTAGGAAGAGGCCCGGGAGGATTCTTCCCCAGAGACTTTAGAAAAAGCATGGCTCTGCCAACACCTTGATTTTTTTGTTTCTAGTATCCAGAAGTCGAGAGAATAATAAGTTTCTGTTGTTTGAAGTCACTGCATTTGTAACTTTGTAGTAATTTATCATGGCAGCCCTAGGAAATGAAAACAGCTGGGTTTCTCGGGTCTCCTGCACATTACATCTGCTGGGGTTGCCATGTCCAGGGGAGCTCCTTCACCCACTTGGCTGGCGTGTTGGTTGAGATGGCTGGAACATTTGGGGCTCTCTCTTCATGTGGCATCCACGCACGAGTAGCTTGGGTGTCCTCAGAGCATGGCAGTCTCAGTGCAGGAGGACTCTGACCCAGCAACCAGCTTCCCCAGGATCGGACGGTTTCTGAAACCCCCGGCCCAGAGCATGGCATGGCGTCACTTCCACCACATTCTCTTGGCCAAAGCGGTCACAGGGCCAGTCATGCTCAAGGGGTGGTGATATTGACCCCATCCCTCTAGGCGACCACAGAGACAGTTGGTGACATGTGATTTGAGGAGATCCTAAAAGGAAATCCTGTCCCTCGGGGGGAAGGGAAAATTGGGAGTTTGGAATTGACATACACACACTACTATATTTAAAAAAGATGGGCTTCCCTGGTGGCGCAGTGGTTGAGAGTCCGCCTGCCAATGCAGGGGACACGGGTTCGTGCCCCGGGCCCGGAAGCTCCC